TGAGAATGTGTAAATCTTTTTCTGATTTATGGGATATGAAGATTTCTCTTCATTTTTTCCCTTCATTTTAAAAATGGAGTGAAATAAGTTTTTGAAACTTAAGGAGGATTTTATATGATGAAACATGTCAAGTCGGTTTACGTATTTGCAATGATATATATATATATATATATATATATATATATATATATATAAACTTCCTATATGCTAATCAACTAATTAACCAAGAGATCAGTTTATCAAATACAGTATGTCTTTCTGGTTGATAAACTAATGACACAGGGCCACAACATCTTGGCATTTTTCCTAGTGAATACTTCTGCTTTGAATAATTAACCAATTCACTTAACAAATTTAAATGTCAAGTAAATCATTTTGAATTCACTTCTGTGATGAGTGATGATGGTTATTTGTCAGTGATCTGTAATTCTACTTGACGTTTATTCCAGTAATGTTGGTCATCGGGGAGATTGAGTTATTTGGGTTATTTAACCCCACCAATTAGCATTTTATCTTGTCAGTAGGCCTCTGTTTTTGACATTATAAAATGAAGTTTTTATGAATTGGGAATTAAAATTTGCGTAAAAATCAACTGAGGTTCTAATGATAATATTTAGAAACAGTAAACAAGAAAAAAACATTTCGCGTCATTGTTTTGCGCATATTTTTAAGTGAGACCACTTCACTTTAAAACATCTTAATTCTCGTAATATTCTCTTGTACACAATTTTCTAGATGTACTGAATTTTAAGGTTTTCACTTAGGAGACTAATATTAACTACATTGCAGTATTTAACCAGTGATAATGCCACATAGAAATGCAGTGAAAACCAAACCACACTAAAACCCTGTTTACTTTTAGACTGAATCCATTATCAGTTTACATTCTTGGCTGTGGGTCAGGAGACATGCAGAAGTGAATTCCCACTAAATGACTGGGAAGGAACGCACTTATTACTAAGCCGTACATTCCTGGGTTCCTTTTTCTTCTGGGGTAGTCAAAAACGACACAGTTTGGGTAGCGGTATGTATGGTCATTAGAATAAAAAAGTGAAGGGAACTGAACTGTCTAATAGTAAACAATACAGACTTATTGAAAAAATAAAAGTTATCTGTGACAGAGTGAGTTACATAGGTAATTTATCTACTGTTTTACAAGTATATTACTCATTGCATATTAAATGGCAATTTGATGTGACATACATTGATAAAGTAATAATAACTGGTTTAACTGATGCTGCATCGTTGTGTTTTATGTCTAATACATTTATTTAGTACTTGATGATATTCTGTTACAGTGCCGAGCTTTTACTCTTACGTTCAGCATTCCTTGCATGCTGAATTTATATATCCTTTTATTTAGTTGTGTTCTCTAAGCTGGAATCAAAATCATCCACCTGAGCTACAAATCTTCTTTATTGTTGTAAATCCTTTAATAACCCGGTACTACTCCCTCGTAGTACCATCAGAGTCCCAGTGTAGTTTACTTCACAATGAAACCTGAACTCTGGATATACATCGCAGTGGACAATGAGATGAGATGCTAGAAAGAAATCCTATTGATTAGATGCTCTGCAGATGGAAACATGCTGCTTTTGTGTTGACATAATCTGATGAGAAATGGATATGGTAACTCTGCAGCTTATTAAAGCCACCTAATATCATACAAGTGGACAATTCTAGAAGTGATAATTAAAATGTCTACACTAACAAAGAGGTTCTCATGAAGAAGATACATTGCTGTGGTCAGTGCATAGTCTGCAATCGTACAAAAAACCTTCTCCCCACAGCAGGATCAGAATTTGTAGTGTCCTGACTCAGTAATTCTTTGTACACTATATATATATATATATATATATTATTCGATTATACTCATTTCTCTTTATGAACCAATCATTCCTCACTAAAAACAGTGTCACTACTTCTCACTAATTTTCTAGAGTACTTTGTTAATTACTATCGAGACAATCCATAAAACTGCTAATATACTGAATGAGATTACTTATGGCATCACCAATGCTAATAGTTACCGGATGTCATTTGTTAGTGAAGATTGATATATTCTCTGGAAGTTAGGCAAGTTGGTCTGAAGTAAACTTAGTGCACTAAAATCATACTACATCGCTTTCGCTTAGTTAATGAGTATTCTGAGGGGTGAAAGCAGAAATAGAAATGCCAGATCTTGCAAAGCGTACCTTAAGAAAAAAGTACCAATTTCTAAAAGGTGTTTATGCTTCAAACACTGTTGATAGGAGTTTCTGGAGTAGACTTAATTTATTTGTCTGATATAGGTATAATGAAGTGTCTGTGATTCTGGTTTGTGTCTCAACTAAAATCATCACCCTTGTTTATATCAGATATCAGTGGACTTGAATCCTGGATAAAGGAAGACAGTAGGAGGTACTATCTTTTTTGTTATTCATGCAAATCACCCACTACCGGTAAATACAAAAAGTGATCTTCGAGGGAGAAAATCTAAAGATCAGTAATCCATCTCAGTATAACATATCTTTTTATAAATTGTCGGATAAAAAATCCTAATTTGACCATCTCAAAGTCACAGGTCTTAACATTCTCGTCGGTTAATTTCCGTACTGAAGGCTAAAGCATACTACTACTGCAGAATGGGAGTCAAGTAAATCATTTTCTGATCGGAAGTAAAACACTGTCTTATGACAAAGTAAAGGCTATATCAGAGGCCGTAAAATAGGTTGATAAAATAATTATATGTTAATCATCTGTACAACTGAAAAATTCCTTCAGATAATTTATTTCGACGACATTGATAAACAGTTGTTACATTCTTCCAGTATTCGCTGAATTAAAACAAGTTTGAATATTAGAGGCAAAATAAATAAAAAAATCAGATGTAAACTGTGTTGATAGGTCGGTTTTAAACTAAACTAGCATCTAAGATACAATCAAAACTCCTGTAAATAATCCGCAAAAATCTTGCTCAGAACTATTTACAAAGGACTCATAAGTGATATAGCACAGTAGGCTTACTGATTAAGTTTAGAGGACAAAAATAGGGACACTATCAAGGAAGCCAGGTGGATAGAGGAGTTATATCTTTCTAATATGGATACAGACATCTTATCTACTTTGTTGAAAAATAAACTGAATAGAAAAGAATTATTATACACATTCAGTCATTCCGCCACCGAATATCTGATTTTGCTAATTCTCTTTGCCTTTCTTTGCGACTATGTTAATGCCACGAACAGTTTTGTCAAATGCGATTGCATCATTGCATCACTAGTATTAACATATTTACCTCGTGTCTAAAGGCTAGAACTAGCCATTATTCTCCATAATAAGCTTTAATTACGCTTAAACCCTACATAGGGGAATTTTTCACCAGTGGAAGAAAATTTATAAGTCGTGAAAACTATTCACAACTTTGTTACTTCCACGATCAAAGTGAATACTTAGAAACATCAACAAAACAGTGATCTACCTATGAATTAATTAAATAATTTTAAAATGATGAAGAAGATTTGTAGCTCACGTGGATGGTATTGATTTAATTGTGTTCTCTGAGCTGGTTGGTTTAACTGTGGAGCTTTCGTCATCCTTCTAGACAACATCTTCAGCTCAGATTTTAGTATAAGATGTAAGTCACGTGACAAGAAAATCCCAATTCCAAGTCAATAAAAATCATCAATAGGGACGTAAATTAACAACCAATCATGATAATGGTTGCCACGAAGTACAGTTACATCATTCATGGAGAATTTGAATGAGTTCATTTCATACTGAAACCTGCGGCGAAGATGTTGTCTAAAAGGACGATGAAAGCTCTGCAATTAAATCAACCAGCTCAGAGAACACAAGTAATTCAGTAAATACTTTTATTCTACTATCTATGAACCTGTAATAATAACCAAGTTTTCTACTTAAATTGATTCTTGACCATCTGCATAACTTAGTGGGATAAAGAAAAAAATTCTGTCATCGACTTGGTCATTAAAATTTTGAAATAATCTTCAGGAAAGTAAATTCTTTTGCGTTGATTCATACTCACTATTATCATTAATACCTTCAGATTTTCAACAAAAAAACCAGTCGCATGTATGGTATATTAAAAAAGTGCACAAATACAAATATCGATTATGCAGTTTTAAATAAAGCATTCGAGAAAATGATAGAATATAAGTAACACACTTAAAGTCAGAATGTATAGATAATCTTGTTTCCCTCAGTGATTTAATGCATTGATATGATAAACTTCCGTATTTAAGTACAGCTATACTGTCATCGTTTACTGAAGCTATCTGGCAAAGTGTCTGAGATGAACTGTTTAGAGAATAAGAAGTGAATCTTGACTAACTAAAAAGAATTACCTAGTCTTAGCCAATTTTCCTTCAGCATCTAAAAGTATTCTTATTTCATGATGAAATATCTAGTATTGTACATAAATAACAAAAATACAGCTTTGTGAAAATCCATTTATCTCCGTAACTCTTTCCCTTTCATAAACGTAAAACGAATTAAAATTCATGCACCAATTTAAATACCAACTGCATATTATTTTCGCGTACGAAAAAATGTTTCGAAATGTATATACAATACAACATTGGATGCCAAATACTACCATAACTTAAATTAAACTCTATGACACTCGCTTCTTTTAGGTTAACCAAGAGGATATCTATGGTTTCTTAATCACAGTCAGTTAAACTGAAGTAAGGGGAGTTTTGTTGATGAATATTACTTAAGATCTAAACAAGTTAAGCTAAATATTTACGCAGACAGTAGGTGAATTTAGCTAAATTAAGTACAGTTACCCTGACAAATATACTCCTAAAAGTACCCAAGTTACAATGTTTACACACCATTTTACTTATCATGAATATTGTGAGTTTGGAAGGCATTCATGCAATCCCCTGGAGTCATATATATATATATACCCTAGCCTCAATAGTTTTACAGAAATAACAATATGAAATACAATTTACATGATACATTAGAATATTAAGACTAATAATAAAACTTACGTTTACACTCATTAGCTGACTCAGAAGTACCTCTTGCCCATGGTCTATCAAGGTACCCAGGTGAACAGCGTTCACAATCTGTCCCTTCAGTATTATGATGACAGTCACACCTAAGTGGACCCCAGTGTGATTTTACTTGACCATTATTGTCTTTATTATTGGCTGCTGAAGATGTTGTGTCAGTAATTTTATCTCTTACACAACGATTAGAATGTCCATTACACTTGCATCGTCCACCAACTGACAGATCAGAAAAAGCGAAGTGAACACCTGTTTTACCGCTGGGCAATTTTGAGTAATGTTGATCAGATTGATATCGATGTTGTGACATATCCAGAGTGCCTGTTTCAGATAAAATATGATTGATATTAAGGCCACCATAGCTGCCACCATTACCAACACCGCCACCAACATGGAACATTTTGGATGGCTTCAGCATACTAGGGTTAAGGAACAAACCGTTTGAATCGTGCTGAATATCGTCTCTATGATCTGGAAATCTCATCAGACTAATTCTTAAGTCAGTCATTGTCATCCAATCGATTAAAGCTGAACTCCACGGTTGTGTTGATGGACGTCCAATAGTTGTACTGAATACGATAACATTTGATGACTGTCCCGAGGAATCATGTATTTCTGAAGATTTCAGTGCTACACATAAAACTTCTTGTATATTCGCTAGAGATATTTGTGCATTGTGCTCATTACTGGTAGGCAAACGAAAGGCTCGATAACAATCTGTTGAAAAATACTGCCATGGTCTCCAAGTCACACCAAAATCAGACGACTTATACAACGCAATGGAGTCCGGTAACTGGCCACATGGTTGCAAAGAAATATAGTACACTTCAAAACGCTTCCCTAAAGATAAAGTCAAGTTAACTGTATTTCCAGGCTGGACAGATCCTGAAATCCAACAGGTTTCATTATTCATTTGGTGTCTATCAGTTAATAAATGAGTACCAAACTTGTCAGCTGTATTGCATACTTCACACTTTGTGTTCCCCATAGTATATCGGCAAACCTGTTCCGGCTGACCATGTTCGCCACATGTTGATGTTGCTTTAATTTCAGAATTTTCAGCTATATTTGTAAACGGTGGAGAGCATTCCACAGCCTGACCTTTAGTATAGCATACAGATCTTGTCGCTTCATAGATGACTTTCACATTGGAATCTTTTTCTTCCACAGAGTTTTTTTTATTCAAATCGGAATGTAATATTAGATCAGTGGGAGTCACGTGAACGATGTGGTTGGAAAGTGTCACCAAAGCAATTATCCGAAAGAGCAGCATAATTTCCATCATCTTAAAATAAATAATGACTAAATTCAGTGCAGATATTCTTACTTAAATACTTGTTTGATAACTACAGGCAATATTAGTTTTTCTACTTTTCAATTTTATCTTTAGTATAAAGCTGTATAGTGGATACTTCTGTTGTCAGTGGTGATGCTGATAACGAACTGATATAACAAACATATTAATAATTTCTGCAATGATAAGCGTTGTCTTGTTGTATCCTGACAAGAAAGAATTAACTGTCACAGAGACTAGCAGTTGATAACAAGTAAGCCAAGCAAGGTTTCTCTAATGAGATAAGATTAATAAATGGATAAATCCCACTAAAACAAATCAGAAACACTGTTGTCATTATTTGTCGTCAAAATTTAGCTTCACTCTTGATAGAAAAAATCTGATTGGTTGATAAGTGTTAATTCGGACACAGTGGATGGTTAAGATAGATGAACCCACTTTTGATAGGACGATGTTAATCGTTGCGGGTTAACCAATATTTGTATGTGTGTCAATTAGTTTACATTTATTTGCTAATCACATTTAGATTAGACACACTGTGAACTAAAACGACATGATTCAATTACATAAATTGATTTAATTGTGATGAGTTATTATACTGTAGGTATTTTTACTCATATTTATTGCAAATCCCGAATAATTTGATTTCTGTTCAACAGATTTAAAAATTAACTATTATGCTTAATATGTGATTTTTAGTTAACTATTTTGCATACTGATTAAGAGTTGATAGCAGAATATACAAGCGATAACCGATGAACATTAATGAATGGAAATATATAGCCATAAAAATACACCATTGTTGAGACACTATTTCAAATGACAGATTTATTCATCGCAATATTTATGGCCTTATCACTGTTTCAAAAAATGTACGTCATTATTCCACTTTTTTTCCCAATAGGAGGAATGATCATATCTAGGTTGGGTGACACACATTCTCCTAAAATCACAGGTATATTCTCACGCGTAAACATCTAGGTTTCATAATGTCAGTGGATATCGTTTGTTAGAACATTAAATTGTAGTGGCCAAATGACTATATTCGCAGTGATCTCATTTAGAAATAAATATGACTCAATGAAATCTTTGATATGCTTGACTATGTTTATTTTCTGTCAGTCTGGTTGAAATTCATAAAGCAAAAAATATGGAACTTAAGAATGTGTTGTAGGATTAAATGAGAGAATTGAAAGTGGCAAATTTTCTTGTTTTATAAACGAAACAGTATCGTACTGTTATCCCACTTACTAGTGAACTTTCGACTAATTTACCTCCTTCATTGTGGTAGGCATTAGATTTATAGTTGAAAATGAACTCAGTGGTAATTAAAACGTAGATATTCCTGCATGAGGGTCTTCTATTCAAGTACAATGTGACCTTTCCTCAGGTCTGAGTATTGCATTATGCACTTATTATGCCGTCTAAACACTTACTTCCTTGGTACTGAACACCTGCTAGGTACAAATAACAACAATAACCTTTAAGCTACTAATTTTGCATCTGTCAGCAGAAAAATATTTTTAGGTCAACTTTCTCAGCTCTCCATGAAATAAACTGCTCATCATTAGCGTCAGAAAGCAGGAATCTAAACTCTAGAGACTATCTACTCGGATACCCAACACCAACGACAGTGAACTTCAGTTTTATGTTGAAAATGAAAATTTAACAGACGCTATTCAGTGGACATTACTGGCTATATCCGGAGATACACTGGCGTGACTACTTCAGTTATACAAAGGTTCAGTCTTTGAATGCACTCTTATGAACAACGCTTTCGATATAGACTGAAATCATTGAAAGAAACAGGGACTCTTCAAGAGTTTTACCGACAAATAATTAACAAATATCTGTAAATTTTGGGGATGGTGAATGTCATCATTCACCATTATTAATCACTACCTATAGTAGCATCTCGCTTATATTGATAACTATATTAAAAAGTTGATATTTGGGATTCATCAGGCATTTAACACTAACCAACATGATTTTCAGCACTATAGTGTACACAATCTCTGTCACGCGGTAGACTTCAGGTATTTGACACATAAAAGATCATAACCCTATTCATTCTCATGCCCATATCTAATTGTGCAAACATATTCTAGTTACTAGATGGAGGTAAACCTTAGATTTAATGGCAGCAGAGCTTTCAGTGATACATCTGTCATCATTTTCAATGCAACTTCATAGGTAAGGAGTATGTTAGTCTTACTCTCTAGCAGGCTTAAACCTAGGTGAGTTAAAATTTTGCCATTTCTTCTCCCTGGTTATTTGTCTTTAATAATTGACTAAGTTGCACTAAAATGACTACCACCGTCTAATTTTGTCTTTTTGAGAAATGTCATCTGGACATCTGGACTCCAGCTTTTCTTCTTCGCCTTCTTGATTTAAAGGAATGATTGACATAAGTTGGACGGTTTTTATCAATTTTACTCTTAATTTCATTCAGAAAACTACGTAATCTTAGATCATACAAACTCTAAAGCAGCAGGAAAAACCTTAGAAACTCAATCTTTAAATGAGCTGGAAACAAAAAACGCAGCAGAATAGGATATAATGTGAGGATCACTGAATAACACGTTCTTTAAAAACATTTAATGAAATTCAGAACAAGACTACATTTTAAAGACAACAGCGGAAATACACTCATTGGTGGTATTCTTTATTTTCTAAGCGTGACTAATGTATCAAATAGAACTAAAACAAACCTCCAACTCACACCAATCTCCTAGATTCAGAATTTCAAGTCCGGCTAACTTATGTATAGACCCACGAGGCGAAATTTTCAAGGTTAAATAACTCATCAATACCATTTCAATATTATCCAATTTAACCGAATGGAAGAAATCAAACAATTAATCACAACATTTTGACCAAGGCATCTTTGACCAGATATTCATAACAGTAATTTTCCAGAGATTTATTTATTTTCATAACTCAGTCTTACAGCTGATTAGTAAACGACATGAAGAGGTTGATGACAGACAAATTGACTTCTTCAGTAACTGACCTAGGTCGAAATTTTGTATCTTGCTGACAAGTAGCGTGAAGCATCTTTGATTGAAGTAATTAGTCGCCTTTTTCGTATTTTCTCCTGTTTTAGTTTCGGATATAACCGTTCAGACTGTCAAGGGACTGTACTGTTCCTCCACAAGAGTTTTAGTTTTGATTATGGTCTCAAAGAAACAGAGCAACTTATAATAACAGGTTTATGAAACTATTTACTCAAAAGGTAATCAAAAATTCTATAAGAAACTATCGCTTACTGTCTGTTAATTGATGTATACGTATACAGTTAACTAAAATTTCCCATAAACACACTATTTTATTCACCTAAAAAGTGGGACTGTGTAGGTGTGCTGGAAAACACAGTGGCACACTCGAGATTGAGCAGAATAGCATTCGACTTTTACGAAAAAAATATCTGACTTTTCTAGTGAATAGAAAAATATGCATGAATACTGCAATTCGTTTTCACAACTTTTACTAGTCTGTTCAGGAAACAAGAAGAAACCGCTTAAATACACAAATGGAAGGGTCCATTCCAGTATAAATACAAATAATTATCAAGTGGAGCAAGTGATTCTGTATCTTCATCCGTTTGTATTTATAAGTAGATTAAACTATCGTTGTAGCCATTTAGTTCAGGTTAAGTGTTTTGGTGAAGAATAAATCAGAAATTAGTCATTGCCTCAGGTGAATAGATAAATCCGCTAATTTTATTTACTCTCTCGCTACACTTTAAATTCTTACTTATTTCTCTAATTATCATAGTTAATGTGGCTATATATATATATATATATATATATATATATATATATATAGGGAGGATAGTCATTTAAAATTTCGACTGAATCTACTTAGCTTCTTCTTTCTCATTTGTTGCCTCTGAAAACGGTTCTGTTTTTTGTACGAAATCCGTTAGAAACACCGCTATGTTGATGGGATGTATGTGTGTATGCACATCTGCCTACTTTAAATGGAAAAAAGTAGCATAAATAATTTCTGTTGAAATATCTATTTTGCCTTCTCACTAAACTTAATGCCTTCAGGTGGTCACTGCGTAATTAACTTATCTGCTAGCATAATAAAGCATAAAAATTAATGTTCTGATCACTTTCGCTTACTTTTTTTTTTAATCTTTTAGTGACTGGTATTTTCATCCCTTTAAAATCTGTTTTACTTATTTTTGGCCAGTTATTTATTCGCAATTACCAAAACACGAAGAAAAGGTAACTTGATCTTATGAGAAAAACAGTTTCTATTTCAAGTGAATATTACTGAATACTGCTGTGTATTGTAACAAGAATACAGCTGATCACTTCATAATTTACCAGGGATAACTGGTTGTAATGGAAACATTGTTTGAACAATCCTTCCTGGACGATCTAATCACACTATTTATACTTTTTTGAATGTTTCAACCTAACTCTGTAATTGTTATACGTTTTTATCTTAGACTGTATATCATTATTTCGACATTTGCATATCACGTGTTGATTCGATCCTTATTATTTGTCTTTTTCTTGTTCAATCTCTAATTTTATTGTTTCTCCTTGTGGTTGTGTGTACACTGGTAATGTGTTGTACGATGTGATTTTGTTTTTGAGTAAATAAATGAAGTCATTCTGATTGCCGAACGAAACGTTGGAATTAATCATTTCAATTTCGCTGAGATTTTACAAATATAACTTTATAGAAGTCATTCTGACCCTGAACTGTCCACGGGAAGCGTTAGTATGTAATTCTTGTGGAAATTTTTCAATTCCATCTTTCTGGGTATATACTGCTTGAATGCGAGTTCACTTTTTGTCCTTAGACTAAACCGTATAGCCGCCTAACGCTACTGACGAGTTAATTTTTATTTTCTGATGTTATTATTATTTAATAAAAGAGAACAATTATTGAAGAATAATCGTCTTTTTACTGTCTTTGAGGCGTTTAGAGACTGTTAAAGTCTCAAGGGAGTTTTGCCAGATATACAGTTGGACGCAGATATTTTTTTCCTGCTCTGAGACCACAACGAATCAGTTTTGATCGTATCACTGGTTATGTTTTTCTCCTATGTCATTCCATTCTGAGCAGAGAGTAGTACTTAGCCCACGAAAATAGAATATTCAACATAAATTTTGAACAATTGACAGTATAAATAGTTGATAGGGTACTTGTTTAATACCGTTCACGCCAAAAAATCCTACAGTTATCCATACTTTATGAAGCATCAAGCAGTAACTGCATTGGTTCAAAACTAGACTACCTTGTTCAGCACTTTCAGTATGTTACTACTTACTCAGTTGATTTAAAGTGAGTGATCCATAAACCAAAAATGGAAAGAAAACGAGAGTTTCGCCTCGCGTCTGATATCACCTTGACATCTTAACTTAAAAGTAATCATGGAACAACTCATTTTCTTATTAGGATATCCAACAACTGTCATAAGAGACATAAGATACGAGTTAAAAGGAGAGTC